TCCAGTGTTTAAACTCCCTTCCTCATTGTTGACATATCTTATGTGTCTAACAGGTGTTCCTTGGCCAAAATGGTGTCCGTGACTTGGATGGTAACGAGCTGCCTAAACTGGTTTATGTTTCTCGTGAGAAGAGGCCTGGATTTGATCATCACAAAAAAGCTGGTGCTATGAATTCTTTGGTGAGTCCCTCTCTCATTCTGAAATTGTTTTGGTTCTGATATTAGGATAATGTATTTTACCTAATCATTTACTATCTACTACAGATAAGAGTTTCAGCAGTTTTGTCAAATGCACCATATCTACTTAATGTCGATTGTGATCACTACATCAACAACAGTAAGGCTCTTCGTGAAGCCATGTGCTTCTTGATGGATCCCATATCAGGAAAGAAAATATGTTATGTCCAGTTTCCTCAGAGATTTGATGGTATTGATAGACACGATCGATACTCCAATCGTAATGTTGTCTTCTTTGATGTAAGTAACATCCTCATCTGATACCCTCGCCTTACAAAAATGGTTGCCTATTATGTTGTGTTTAAAAGTAAATAATGACTGATCTCTTTTTCCTATCTCAACAGATCAACATGAAAGGTTTGGATGGTATTCAAGGACCAATTTACGTCGGAACAGGTTGTGTTTTCAGAAGGCAGGCACTTTATGGGTATGATGCCCCAAAACAAAAGAAGGTCCCAGGCAAGACCTGTAATTGTTGGCCAAAATGGTGCTTCTGCTGCTGCTGCTTTGGATCCCGAAAGAAAAACAGAAAATCAAAGAACAAGGGTAATGACAAGCAAAAGGACAGTAAAAAGAAGTCCAAGAACAAGGATTCATCCACACAAATACACGCTCTTGAAAACATTGAGGAAGGAATTGAAGGTATGTAAACATTAACACTACCTGTGTATTGTATATCATTCTATGAACTTCTAAATATTGGCAAGGTTTCTGTTCAAAATGCAAACTTCATATTGAAATTGTTTGGATTTTCAATGAAAATTGATTGTAATGATGCTATAATAGTTCTTTTCTTTTTGCTTAGTTTAGGATGAAGTATTCCATAAGCTTAAGCAATTAACTCTGACAAAATCCTCCGATACTTAGCAGTTACTTCTATTTTTTCTTTCATTCTACTGAGATCTCACTGTTCTGAGTCTGACTATGCATTTGCAGGAATCGATAATGAGAAGTCTGCTCTTATGCCCCAAGTAAAATTCGAGAAGAAATTTGGTCAGTCACCAGTCTTTATAGCTTCAACTCTCATGGAGGAAGGTGGAATGCCTCATGGTGTAAGCGAAGCATCACTATTGAAGGAAGCTATTCATGTCATCAGCTGTGGGTACGAGGATAAAACCGAATGGGGAAAAGAGGTAAAGCTGTATTTTCAATTTCTATTTCCTGGAAAATGTTTGCATAAGTTTCTCTGACCATGTTTTCTTGAATTCAGGTTGGTTGGATTTATGGTTCAGTTACAGAAGATATCTTGACTGGATTTAAAATGCATTGCCATGGCTGGAGGTCAGTTTACTGCATGCCTAAAAGACCTGCATTTAAAGGGTCTGCTCCCATTAATCTTTCTGATCGTCTCCATCAAGTTCTTCGTTGGGCTTTGGGATCCGTTGAGATTTTGTTGAGTAGACATTGCCCCATTTGGTATGGTTATAACAGTGGTCTCAAACCATTGGAGCGATTTTCTTATATTGCTTCTGTTGTGTACCCATTGACATCAATCCCACTGCTTGTCTACTGTACTCTTCCTGCTGTCTGTCTGCTCACCGGAAAGTTTATTGTTCCTGAGGTAATTTCCACTCTTGCTTTGTTTCGAGTAATTTTTATTTTGTCATACCTTGTTACTTTGTGTTGGCTGTTTGATTCTGATAGTCCAATGTTTGATTGTTATGTTGTGATCTACAGATCAGCAGTTACGCCAGTATTTTGTTTATGGGGCTCTTTATTTCCATTGCGGTTACAAGTGTCCTCGAAATGCAATGGGGACATGTACAAATCGACGACTGGTGGAGGAATGAACAGTTTTGGGTTATTGGAGGTGTATCTTCCCATCTATTTGCCCTCTTCCAAGGTCTCCTAAAGGTTCTTGCTGGTGTGAACACCAACTTTACTGTCACGTCAAAAGCAGCAGACGATGGAGAATTTTCCGACCTTTACTTGTTCAAGTGGACTTCCCTCTTGATCCCACCCATGACATTGCTCATCATTAACATCATCGGAGTTATAGTCGGGATTTCAGATGCCATTAACAACGGATACGAGTCATGGGGTCCCCTGTTCGGTAGGCTCTTCTTCGCCATGTGGGTGATCATGCATCTTTACCCCTTCCTCAAGGGTATGATGGGAAAGCAAGACCGTCTCCCCACCATTATCATCGTCTGGTCCATTCTGCTCGCGTCCATTTTCTCCCTACTGTGGGTCAGAATAAACCCGTTCACAGCCAAAGGTGGTATTGTGCTTGAAGTCTGTGGGTTGGATTGTGATTAGTACAGCAAACATTTTTGATGGGTTTATGAAGAATTTTGTGTAGAAAAACGAAACCAAGGTATTTAAGCCGTGAAATTTATCGCAGAAACCGCAAGAGCTACTACAACTACGTTGAGGGCTCGAACGCGATCATCGAATCGAAGGATAAAAATTATCACAGTTGGGTTTGTGTTGTGTAGATAAAGTTGGCAGCTGACACATTAAAAAAAAATTTGTTGTCAGGAAAAAAAATGTTTATTCATTCGTTTGATACACGTCGTTAATTGTGCGTCAAAGTTAGGGGATTATGGAATTCAGGGCATTTCTGTAATCCCCATGAACATAAAGGAGTTGTTTTTTTTTTTTTAATTTAAATTTTTTTTTTAAGTTGCTATTCATGATTTATAAGGGCCCCCCTTAGTAATAAGGGACTTCAAATGTTGTGTCACTCTGTAGATAATGTTTATTACTCTTATTCTTATTTTTTGGATTAGTATATCAATAAAGTGGTTCTAGTGTTCTTACTTAATGTCTAAGCTACAATAACTATTGCTATATTTCTTATCTCATTTTTCATTTTTTCGATACTCCTTTTGTTTCTTAAAGTTTGTTTTTCAGTTGTTAGTGATACTAGACTACGGTGAAAAATACAATACTATCTCCGGTCCAATTTATTCGCAACAAAGGGGTATTATTTGTGAGACATAAAATATTCCTTTGTTGCGATTAAATTGGACCGGAGGTAGTAGTTTGTACATTGTTATTAAAATCCCGATTTAAATCTTAAAATCTTACGATTTTACGATTCATGTATATTATACGATTCAATTTACGATTCTACCCGATTTTACATATTTTTCTGAAGTAGCGAAATCCTTACAAGTAATAAACATGTTTAAATAGGTTTTTATAAATATATATTGTCAAGTATTGATTGCTTAATGGGTAAATAACTATTATCTATCAATAATTAGGTTTCAAACTCATAATTTCAATTTATTTATTTAAATTTATATTTGACGTCTTGATTATGCATGTCGGTAGAATCTTACGATTCTACGATTCGATTTTACGATTCGATTCTGATAGCACATTCCGATTCAAAGTAGAATCCCGATTTTAATAACTTTGAGTTTGTACATTTAATAGTCCTTTTCTTTCTTATTCTATATGTATTTTTGGTGTTATAAAATGGAGAGTTATTAAGTAATCCTAGGATTGTGCATTTTTAAGTCGGTTATTTCTGAAAATAATCAAAATATTACTCACATTAATGGTATTTAAAACGAGAAATGTGACTATTATATTCAGACGGAGGGAGTGTCTCTGACGAAGTGAAGCTAAGCTAGGCAAAGAAATCAAGTAATGGTCCAGCCTCTTTAATCAAGTCTACTGTAAGCAAGCAAGAATTGTACGTAACTTGTAAAGATGTATCAAAGCAAATACATTAAACGAAAACATGTGTTGCAACTGTAGGCTATAGTGTTATTGATGATGGTTAATCCCGAAAATTGTAGCTATAAATGAGTATTGAATATTTTTTGCTCAATTCTATAAACACAATCTTGGTACTATATTTAATCTCTCCTTTTTATCCCAATTATTAACCAACAATCTCAACTAATAATTTACTCGTTTATCTCAACTGTAATATGCATTGATGTATACAAGAATATTTCTAAATAAGGACCTTCAATCTTTATGTTAATTGTCTTATTGTTATTGTCTCTTGTTTAATTTAAGAAATGGCATAATTTGTGTTATTTTAGTTGTTTCACTTTGACTTGCATTTTTACCAATACATATAAAAATATTGACCATTGTCGTCTCATATTTATCTCTAAAAATACACATCGAGTCAGATCCAATAGTATACTATAGTGAATTTTTGGTCGAAGTGAAACTTGTGATTAGTGTCAAAGTCAAAGTGAAAACGACTAATAAAATGGCTATTGTTTCCGGACGGAATCGATTACTTGATGCAAATTGGCGCGGCAACTACTGCTTTAAAAGTTATCTTTATCAATTTAAGACATTGTCCAAGTCTAGTAGTGTATAAAGTCAGCATTGAAGGATATATTGTTTTCTCAACTACCAAGAAACTGGTAAGGTACTATCAATTTATATGAATTCAATGTATTAAGATTTTGTCAGTAATCTGTTTTAGGACAGATGGACAAGATATCAGATATTCAGCTTAACTTGCTGTGTTCTGTGTCCTCAACATACATTTTGGTAATTAAATTTTTGCTGAAGTGGTTAATGCTAAGTGATTGATTAATCATGCATTTAATAATTCAAAATGATGAATCTTCCTAACCAGAAATATAATCAACTGTCCAAGTATCAATTACCATATTTTAATAAGGGTAATGCTATATGTAGCCCTAAGCCCCTAAGGGATATATATAAGCATTACATACATTCTTGGAAATCATATAAAATTAGGAATTCACGACAAAAACACGCGTAAATCAATGTAATTAGTGTTTATAATTTGATAATTCTTAACTTTTTACGATTTTAAGTATAAATTTAATGCTTATATGTAGCCCTAAAGGCTATGTATAGCACTTTCCTTTTAATAATATGCTTTGATGCGAAAATCATACACATTTAATAAAGAAAAAAAAAAACTGAAGTCGCAAGTTCAAATTCGAAATTTGTTAATCTACAAATCTGCAAACAAAAATTACAACCTAGAAACCACTATTCAGCAACAAGTTTTAACATAGGATGATATGACCAGTATGTTCTTCATCCCATTCCAAACGATTACAAAGCAATTGCATTCACAAGTAATGCTTCATCAAATGACTAACATAACTTCAATTTACAAACTAGTTTATATGCATGAGAGATGCAAAAGTCCAATCCAAACAGGTTGTGTATATGTTGTTAACTTGCTAAGTTACCATCCTCCACATGCCACACTCTAAAAACCCTGATAGCATGCAGGAAATCTGAAACTACTTCCTGACATCTCCCAACGCCTTCCTTCGGGGTTTTACAGCTGTTGCACCAACCATTTGAAGCCTTTTGGGAGCTGCTGCATTCTCCTTCATGTCATGCATGAAAGGGGGCAGCTTTCTGGGAGTTCCATGTATCAGTATGCTTCGGGTGTTCTTTCTCCTGATCATAGAATTCTCGTTTTCCTGGGCATTTATGCAGTTCTGCTTATCACCAACTTGATCAGCACTGTCACCCCTTTCTTCTCTCTCGTCAACTTCCTGAAGTTTCTGTTCACCAGGATCACTGTCAACTCCAACAGCAGGCTGATGTTTTTCTACAATTGCAGAGTCGTACTCGTTCACAGAGAATGTGACATCTGAAACTTCTGTTTGCAGCTTGCTGGCCTCTTCTTTTTCTATCTCATCCCAGAACATAACAATTTCTGTATCAGTGAACACAAATGATTCATTTCTGGACATCATACCTTCAGTTTCTGCATCATACAAAAGAATGAATTCAAATAAGTAAATAAATGTATCCCACATTGTTATAAAGCCTCTGCGTAAGTTATGAGTGTTTGAGTCTTTGGATTTTTTTAGAAATGTGACTCGTGATTGCAAGTAATTTACATCCTTTTAATAAAATTGTTCCTGAGGTTGATCTTTACCTTCTAAATTTGGGTCAGAATTTCCTCTACTGTACCCCTCATCATTTTCTTGATTGAGCAGTGTAAAAGTACTCGGAACTTCCTGTGCCATCTCATGTACATTATAAGCATTGACAAACTTTTGGTTGCTGGTGCCTTCAAGGACTTCATGCCTAGCAATCAGAGATGCTGAATTTGTTGTGTTAATCATTGGCGGTGTAAGGGAGCTTATGTTAGCCTCTCTATCCGCTGAGCAACCTGTTTCAATGTGACAAACAGTTGAGAAAAATTAGAGAAAATTACACCAAAATAATTATATAGATGATAACTTATAACATCCATATATTACGTTCATAAGTTGGCATATTGGTATCACATGACTAAAATGATAATTACAAGGGACTAACATCTATCATCTAGAGCAACTCTAACTTCTGTAAATTTTGCAGAATCCAGTTCTTGAGCTGCAGTAACAGTCAAAATTAGAACCACTGAAAGTGTAAATTTAAGTCTAGGCATTTTTGAAGTCAACAGTTTTAACAAGTTGTGGAAAGGAGAATTGTTGAGGCTTTTAAGGTTACCTGGACTAATATTTTCTCTATGGACATTGTGCTCTGGATCAGAATTTGTCAAATAGATGCCACAAGGCGAGCTTTCTGAATTGATAGACACCTCCAACGCTACATGATCCACATGCTCTTGATTAATAATTTCTTGTCCAAACAAGCAACTTCCTGCACCATGAATACACCAATTATCATAAAGCCTGCCAGAGAATACATTTTATTTGGTAGTACTTCATTTTGATTTCTCAATCCACCCCCCTCGCTCCTTCCTTTTCTGTTGCTGCACTAAGCCTTTTGAAAGCAACTTATATACAGAACTCATGCAAACAAAATTGACAACTGAAAATGGACAGCTGATCAAACCTTGCAACTCTTCTGTTGTACTAACATATTCACCCAGATCTTTTCCAGCTATGCTTTTTGGCCCATTATGCATCTCAGTAGTCGAAGCTAGTGATGATAGTTTAGCAGGCGTTGCCAATTCGGGCGGCAAGACATCTGAATTCTCTGCATCAGTCTTCATCATGTCACTTGAATTTACTGTGTATGTTGAATAAGAGCATGAGACAAAAGACAAGAAGAGCTGAATGATCGTATTATATAGAGAAAAGCTGAATGCAACTGACCTGTAGTATCTTGATCATCTTTACAAAGCACGGTATCACCTGAATGTAATTGACATGTATTATCTTGATCATCTTTACAAAGCATGGTTTCACCTGAATGCAATTCTTCCATATCATTAACACAAGCTGCAATAAGAACTGTTATTATAAGAATGTCTAGAATATTGAAGACTGCTCAAAAGTTCAGTGTAAGATTGTTAGTTTGACATGTGTCGTATCATTCTATAAAACATTGAGCAAAAGAAGCAGCTGCCTTCAAAGACTGACCATTTTGAAGAGAGTTGTTGCATTTGTTCTGTGATGATTGCAAAGAGTATGATGCAGTTTTACTTGTTGCCGCATAAGCATCAGAAGAATGACAGGTACTCGTTTTGTTAAGAGGAGTGCAAGATACTGCTATTGTTCCTGCATCATTGTCCAACACTGAAGCTGCATCCGTCAGTGAAAAAGTCTCAAACTTTCTCTTTGGGCTATGACTTTTTTCAGCCATTTCAAGATATCCGTTACTACTTCTTGCATCCTCCCCATTCCCAACATTGTGTACTGGGTTGAGCTCAACCATTGAGCAAACCTCCATCATTTCTTCCCCAACATCACTTTTGCCTTTCTCTGACATGTCCAAACTGTTTTGCATGGCAATTCCTCTTTCTACAGCTTCAACAAAATCAGTTTCATTGTTACTTTTCAAACTTTCCTTTTCACGGATGTTTTTACATTCTTTTGCTGATCCCTCAAAAGATCCTAATGCTTGAGAAAAATACTCAAAATTCTTCTTGATTGAACCAACAGACATAGCTACATAGATTAAAGGAAAATTTCAGAAAATAAGTTAGAGCCTTCTTAAATGAAGATAATAAGGTCAAAAGTTCAAGAAAAAGTATGCTGCCAATTACTTTGTAGGCAAAATTCTTGTTCAAGAGCTTCATCAAGCTTTTCGTAAATAGTAGTTCCCGGAGTCTCATTTCCACATATGCTCAAATCTTCTGCTTCCTTAGTACATCCTGTTTCTTCCTTTTCAACTGAACCTAAGGAATTGGCTGAAAAAAAAAAAAAAAGGGTCAATGATCAGTCATATATTATACAGCATTATGTTCACAATGACATAACACGGCAAACATGTAAACTCATTCCACAGGTACTTCAAATATACTATAGAGACCCAATCTTCTCACATGTTTGAGCAGTATACTTGTCAACATTGAGTTTGAGGTTGGATTTCTCTTGTGTTGCAAAATGGCTGGAATTTTGGGCAAGCAAAACTTCAGGTGTTTGAATTTTCATTGGCTTTGCCGGACTACTGAAATGGTTAATTTTCAAATCAGCACTTGATTTATTGTCTCTTAGTTGGAGCGCACTCACAGGATCAGCCATCTCTTTAACCAGACTATTCTCAGATATTTCATTGCTGCTACTTTTCAAGTCACCGCCAACTGTTGCAATTTCATTATTTGACGTCTCTGCAGGCTCACCATTGGTATCTCCATGAAAATTAATATCATCATCTGTGTTTTCAGCATCCTTAGCAACCATAAGCTCCAAATCTTTGGTTGGGTCAGATACAGTATATTCTACTGCACCGTTGTTATACCCATGGAGAATAACATCAACATCATCTTTGTCTTCGGCATCCTCAACAGCAATAAGCTCTAAATCCTTGGTTGGGTCAGATACTGGTTCTTCTACTTCACCGCCCAAAGCAAGCAAATCTTCTGTATTCCAAGCAGCACACTCAGACTCCTGGTCCTTGCTGCATGTATCCTTGGTGACAGTGTCTGAATAATGTCCAGAAAACAAGTGCTGTAACTTAGGCTCATTTGAAAAGTTGGCCCCTTCTTTTTGTTTAGCAGATGAGTACTTGTCATACTCATCTACATCAACGTTCCTGTCATTAGTAAAGCATGTTAAATCCCTGCTTGGTGTCTCTACTGCCCTTGAACCTGAAGGACTGGTGAGGTCACCTGCGCAGAATGAAGACAGGCACTAGTCAGAAACAAAAGATTATTCAACAAATGGAAAAAGTAGATACATAAATCAAGAGTTCGAGAATTCTCACTTAATGGAAAAAAATAATTATCACATAGCTTTTCCAATCGGAATAGAATATCCTTCTGTGGGGTACTATTCAAAACAGCACTTTTATCATCATGTTTCAAGTGAAATTCATGCTCGTCAACAACGGCAACTGTATCAACTTCTGGGTTGTGCTCACACTGCTCAGACACCTCAGTGAAGACACTTCCAACATCAAAGCATGATACAACATTTCTGGTACATGATGTCTCGGACATTTCTCTTTCTCTATCCTCTACATTCAAAGGATTTACACTGCTATTCTTGATTTTCCCATCACCAGTGTCCCTGCCTTCAGCAGCATCCACAGAACTTTGTTTTAAGCACTTGGTTTTGTCAGATACTGATATGCATTCAGATGCATTATTACTGATGCTGCCAAAAGCATCTGAGCATAAGTTTCCTTCATGTGCTACCTGAAACCGCTTCCTCTCATGGATAGAAACAGGAGTTTCTTCTCCATCGTACAAAACAATAGTATCCTGTTTTGTAGCACTAACAGCCATCTCAGACGTCAGTTCCTTGCTATCATTGGGGTTGGTCACATAGTCATCCTTAACAGCTTCTAACCCAATTTTCATCTCATCTACTTGTTCAACAAATACAGCCTTGTCTTCTTTAGCTAAGTTGTTCGCCTTAATGCTGTTTTCTAAACAACCAATAACGCCTCTTGATGTCTCATTGCAGCTCTCTTCTCCCTTTTTCATTGAACTAGAAAAATCTCCGACGCCACCTGTAAAGCATGAAAACAGCTACCTTCAACACATGATTTAACATGTAAAAAGTGATATTTAACTAAGAATGGGCATACCATCAACTTGTGATAGCAGGTACAATGAAGAAATGTTCATAGTCGAAGATGACTTTGTCCTAGCCTCACTGTCATTCTTTTTTAATGAATGATTCAAATGAGAATCTTCAGCATCACTGCTACTGCAATCTATCCCCCGGTTCCACAATGGCATGACTATTGTAGTAGCTTGGCCTTCTTCCATACCTTTGTTGAGCGTTGCAGCTGATGCATTTGAAGAAAGTGTCAGCCCTTCCATGACATTGGGAGACTGGGCATTGGCTTCCAAGTCAGCTTCTGGACCGAATACTACCTCTTCTTCTGACATAAGATGGTAAGATTGCTGCTGGTCAAAATAAATATCAGGCACCTGTTCAACATTAGTGGCAATCGTGTCACAAGAACTCCATAAACTAGCAGCTTCCTCTTGCACTGTTGGTTGAACATCTGATTCCTTCAGAATCACAGTGGCACAGTCAACCATTTCATCTACTGCACTTTCATTCTGAGATGGGGACTCTTCAAGCTCGGGTTCCTGTTCCTTCAAAATCACTGCAGCATTGTCTACCACTTTATCTTCTACTGCAATTTCATTCTCAGATGGAGACTCTTCACACTCATTTCCCTGCTCCTTCAGAATCACTGCAGCACGATCAACCACTTCATCTTCTACTGCATTTTCTTTCTCAGACGCGGACTCTTCACTGTGTTCACACTCATTTTCTTGTTCCTCCAGAATCGGTGCTGCATGCTCAACCATTTCTTCTTCTACTGCATTTTCAATCTCAGGTGGCGACTCTACACACGCGTTTTCCTGTTCAATGAAATGCTCATTTCTATTCTGATTAAAACATTCAAGTCCATCACTACTTTCTAAAATTTTACTGTCCCTTCCAGCTTCTAATTCACCAAAGGGGCTCGAGAGTTGCACCCCATCAGTATCACTGCCTCCACTACCTCTTGGAAAACTAGGCTCCACAGCAATGTGACAATCAGGTTCACCTACACCAGCACATCAATGTAAAAAATAAACATATGAGTGTTCAATGTATAAAGTCTTGATTTTAAACAAGTCAAATGAAAGCATTAAGTGTGCCAAGCTTACCACTAAGCTGCCTTTTAAGATTGCTAGGTTTTGTAGATGCAATTTCTTCATAAGAGTTATTGTCAACTACAGAAATCATATTTAAAGAATTTTCCTTCACTTTGTCAGCTTGCATAGAACTTTTAATTCCATTACCGCCGCTATCTTGCAATATTGAATTTTCATTGTTTGCAGGAGTCTGATCTGCTGCTACTGCATTTCCAAGGGCCTTGTCCATGATGTTGGTCTCTTCTGGACAGTCATCTAACTTTGAACTTACAACTCCATCTTCGCCACTGTTTGCCAACATTGGACTTTCATCATTTGCAGGAGTCTGATCAGCTGCTACTACATTTTCAAGGGCCTTATCGATGATGTATGTTTCTTCAGGGATATCCTCTGTCTTGGAACTTTCAACTCCACCTTCACCACAGTTTTGCAACATTGGACTTTCATCATTTGCAGGAATCTGATCAGCTGCTACTGCATTTTCAAGGGCCTTGTCTACGATGTATGTTTCTTCTGCGAAGTCCTCTATCTTTGAACTTTCAACTCCACCTTCATCAAAGTTTTGCAACATTGAACTTTCATCGATTGCAGGAATCTGATCAGCTGCTACTGCATTTTCAAGGGCCTTGTCTATGATGTATGTTTCTTCTGGGCAGTCCTCTAACTTTCGACTTTTAACTCTGCCTTTGCCACTATTTAGAAACATTGAACTTTCGTTGTTTGCTACATCTTCATGGACCTTGTCTATGATGTCTGTGTCTTCTGGGCAGTCCTCTAACTGCATTATATTATTTTTAACATACAGCTTTTCTGATCTATTGGGAGAAAATCCAGTAGTTTCCTCGGAATTTTCTGCTTTCTTCTCTGCAGAAGTGGTGTTACCAGTTGCATGACGTAACTCTAGAACAGCACATAAGATGTTAAGAAACAAACAAGAAAAATATTAACAAGCAATACACTGTTCAGATTATCATAATATTACAAGCACAATTTTCACTATTTCATTTGTTATAGGTTCACATCCTGAAATATGCAATATTTTTACATGTATAAACATACCATTTACATTCAATTACGCTACTAGATAGAAATGTCCATTTACATACAATAACGCTAATATATAAACATCCATTTACATCCATTTACTGGAGTTAACAGAATAACTGATAAGAAGAATAGATGATAATTGATGGGCAAGTCTAAAACCATATCAAATGCTTTACAGTGATCAAGTCTCTAAACAAAATTCTACACATGCTGCCGTTGAAGTTATCATAGTCTTATATTGCTTGAACAAAGATGTAAGAATTTCATATGCAAAATAAAAGTAAGCATGATGTTCAATTTGCTAAAGATTTTTTTAGCATCATAAATTACAATCTGATTGACATTAATTAAAAGTTGATGAAAGCCATAATTACCATCTATAGTTGGCTCCCTATTTTCTGAAAGGCTTTGTACATGAGCGTAATTCCCTGGCATAGTCTCCTCGTGTTGGACATAATCAGTCCCATCAGTAGCAGGCGCGCTGCAGCCTGTTGCTTCAGATTCATTTGTATATTGAGCTTCCACTTCATTCACTTTTTCATCTTCTACCATTAGGCCACTAGTTGAAGAATCAACCTTGGACATTCCAGCTTGCCTACGTGATCTCCTCACCACTTTAATTTCTTTATAACCAACATCCTTATCAACATTATCGTTCTTTCTTCTCAAACCTTTCCGCTTCAAACCTCTAATTTCTGAATTCTTATCATTCTCAACATTTTCTTTGATTGTATCCATAACTAGTCCTTCCGTGTCACCCTTTGCCTTTAAAGTCGCAGTTGGCTTCCTTACCCTCTGGCCTTTCTTGACATCTGCCACCATCTCAGGAGACTTTTGTTGCACATTCTCAGCAACAGCTTGTTCCAATACTTCAGCATTCTTCTGCTCCTTCAAAGCTGTTTTCCGACCTTTAGTCTCAACCTTCTGCACTTGTCTCACTGACCTCCTTGCCTGACCTCTCTCAACCAAATTGTTCCCGTCATCAACTACTGCAGCAGGCTTCACCGCAACAGACTTTCTCCTCGAAATCCTTTCAACAGGTTTCCCAACATTATCATCAAAAGTTCCAGTGTCTAAAACCACATCAGGTTTCACCACAACAGTCTTTCTCCTCGAAACCCTTCCAACCGGCTTCTCCACATTATCATTAACAGTTCCAATGTCTAAAACCATATCAGGTTTCACCACAACAGACTTTCTCCTCGAAACCCTTCCAACTGGTTTCCCCACATTATCATCAACAGTTCCAGTATCTAAAACCACATCAGGTTTCGGCACAACAGACTTTTTCCTCAAAACCTTTCCAACCGGTTTCTCAACATTATCATCAACAGTTCCAGTGTCTAAAACCACATCAGATTTCACCACAACAGACTTACTCCTCGAAACCCTTCCAACCGGTTTCTCCACATTACCATCAACAACTCCGGCATCTAACACCAAGTCAGGTTTCACCACAACAGGCCGCCTCCTTGAAACCCTTCCAACAGGTTTCTCCACAACTTCAGGTTCTAAAACTGCATCAGGCTTACCCACAACAGACCTCCTCCTCAAATTCCTTCCAACAGGTTTCTCCACATCATCAACATTTCCCAATTCACTCACATTCCCAACTACTGAACCCGGGTTTTCCTCGATTTCGGGTTTTTGAAAAACCCTCCTCTTCCTAGCCAATAATCTCAGTTCTCTAGGATCAGTTTTCTCAAAAACAAATGTTTCATTCTGAGGACTAAATTTTACCTTCTTTGGTTCTTTACTATCAGCCAATTCCTCATCAACTTCGTCAATAACACTCAAATTCTTTAAGCAAGACCTCCCCCTTTTTGTGGGTTTTTCCTCCTGTACTCAAAAACCCCACCAAAATCATTCAAATTTCAGTTCAATAAACAAAATTACAAACCCCCAAAAAACCCCAAAAATCCCATGAAAATTCGAAAAAAAATAATCATTAAAACAATCAAAATCAGCAAATTTAACATATTACACATTCAGAAAAAATAAAAATTCAAGAAATAAAATTTCAAAAAAGTGATGAAATTTACCTTAAGAAGTGCAGAAAGACGGTCAGCCATTTCAACATTCTTCAAATTTGCTGGAATTCCATGTTCCTTGCACAATGATTGAAGTTCTTTCCTCTTCAACCCATGAAAATCCATATCTTTTTCCATAAACTTGACTAAAAAAACGAAATTCTTGAAATTTAAAGAAGTAATTTGAAGTGGGTATTAACGATCATTGTAAATTTGAGGAACAAAAACTGCGAATTCTGGATTTAAATTTGTAAAAGTTTGAATCTTGAATTTGAAGGGTTTTTATTTTATAAAAAAATAAAAAAATAAAAAAAGAAAAAGAAGTACGAGTAAAAAGTTTATGAATTTGAAATTTTTTGAACAGAGAAATGAGTTATATTCTCCCGCTATTTTCTTTTTTTTTCAAAATATTTGATGTAGAAGATAATCTGACGGTTGAGATACTCTGGATTGAAGGTGGAGGTTGTCAGATTTGACCACGTGGAGAATTTATAACTGCTTTCGTCATATTCCTGGGTTTTGATTGGTCATCACATTTCACGAGTCAATTTTTGTTCTTTTACGAGAGCGGAGAGCGGAAGGCTGGAGGGGATGGTCAGTCTTTGCTTCTCTCATTTCAAAATGAATGCAAGTGTTTGAATTAATTTTTATTTTTTTATTTTTTTTGAAATCCACACCCACACAATTAGTTATTAGTCTATTACGGAGTATTTAGAGCAATTTTAGTCCAAAGTCTTAAGACTTGGATGTGACATCATTTTTTGTGGTCCTCATTGAAAATAATGTTATCAAATTCTTGTTAAGACTCATTAAGACTTACGAAAATTTATCACTTTAGCCCTAAGACTTAAATATTTGACATATTATATGTTGAAAAATGTAAGGAAAAAAAAGGATAATAAAAATAAAAGTAAGGTGGGAGTAGTGGGTCCCAATCTCAAGTTTTAAGTTGAGTCTTGAAATTTCAAGACTCAATTTGAGACTTGCTTGAGATTTTTGAAGAAAAATGGAAAAAGTCTTAAGCATAAGTCTTAATACCTAAAATGATGATGTCACCCCAAGTCTTAAGACTTGGGGCTAAACTTGCTCTAAGATTCTGCTTACGAGCACCCCGGGATATTTGATAAGGAATAATTACTCTATCCGTTTTTAAATACTTGTTCCATTTCTCCATGTGCAGGGTTTTAGGAGAATTTGAAAAAAGTAATAAAATATGGAGGTAGTGGGGTAGTTGAGTAAATAAAAAATTGTAAAAGGCAAAAGTAGTGGAAGAATAGGAGGAGAGAGAGTATTATATTAGGTCCATGTGATAAGTGAATTAAATGTTGTAAAAGCTTTCCAAAAAAGGAAATGGAGCAAGTATTTAAAAACAGAGGGAGTATATTGTACTCATATATGAGAGTACTCTCCATCCCTTAAAACCGAAAACTCTACATTCACACTCGGTGTGTAAGAGCATTTTACACACTACCAATAAATTATTGACAACTCAGTTGTACCTACACAAAAGAAGAGGGAAGGCAAAATAATGGGAGGGAAAACTGAGCGGTAGTTTGTCTGGGCTATTGGCGGTATTTTGTTGTTCTAAGGCGGGAATATTGTGAGAGAGCGCCAAAGTGATTATGGATCCCACTTAATTTCGTCATCGTTGTCCTTCAATCTATTTTATTGTTGTCATCGACATAGCTAGCAAGTTAGCATGCAAATAATTTTCTACATAGTATTCAACATCTATACTAATGTAAGTATAATATCAATTCTTCCCCACTTCTGCAATCTGATTTCGTTGTTAATAATTGAAGAATCCGATATTTTCCCCATTAATTGTTGACTTCCCCTTTATTGTGAAGGGTTATATTTCCATTATCATTGTAATTTTAGACGGTTATAACGACTTGATGTTTAATGTCCAATTAAGTTATTTGCAGTCGAGCTCATGATTCTTTCGGGATTGTGATAGATCGAATGTTTGTCTTTCAATTCCAACTTGTGATGGCTCTTTCAGGAGTTCGTTAAAAGTTATATAATTACTTAAAATTTCACATCCCCTGTTCTAATATATTATATAACATTTTTAAATTTACAGTATTACTTTGTTAATGTATGTGTCATTTGTAATTTTCTAGTATCAAATTGTTTATTATGTAATTGTATTGCGTATTGTTTCAGTAAATGGAAAGCGAGCCCAATTATCTGGTGAAGCTGTAAACATTGAACACGATGTGTTGGATGAGATGAACCAAGGCGTTGAGAATGACGACAATATAATTCTTGATCTTAATGAAGAGCAGAGGAAAATGCTAGTTCGTCGTCTAAAGGTGATGATGTTCCTGTTAACCAAACTAATAGCAGTGTAGACGATGACAATAATCTTGTTGCTGCCATTGTCCCAGGTGTTGGGATGTTATTTCAATCCGGTGAAGAATTTGCCCAATGCTGCCATAAGTACGCTTATGAGAAAGGATTTGAATTTTATGTTAGAATAGATACATTGATGAAGGAGTACAAAGTAGCAGACGTTAATCGTAGAGGTGTTGGGGAAAAGGAGCCGAAGTACCATATGATGTCCCGTATTAGAATGGATTGTAAGCTTAGTGTCAAAGATAGGAGCAAAAATGTAGAGCATAAATGCAAAAAAAAAAAAGAAATCTTGTACAGAATGTAAGGTATATGTTGATGGAAGAATGTCAGGGGGATGGTTTGTAATCACACAATGTGTGTTGGATCACAATCATCCTCTTTTGCCGGATTGTACAAGGTGTATGGTGAACTATAGAGGTATAGAAGACGATAGTTATGAGAGAATGGCACTAAACGATGCTAATGGGATCTCTTTGGGTAAGAGCTTTAATTCGTTCGTTATTGAGAAAGGAGGACATTCGAAATTGTTGTTCACCAAGCAAGATATGATGAATGCAGTGCACGTTCAACGCCGACTTATCTTATTTCAAGGGGATGCACTTGCCGTAGAACAACATTTTACAAAGATGACTGAAGAAGATCCTAATTTTTATAGTGCTATTCAACAAGATAAAGAAGGAAAAATTCTAAATGTTTTTTGGGCTGATGCTAGGGGTCGTGCAATGTACCGAGATTTTGGTGATATTGTCTTGTTTGATACAACATTCTTATGTAACAGGTATAATGACGTTGCATAAACACATTATATTTTATTTACAGAATCATTTATTTTTAACCTGAAACATTTATCTAATCATGTATTTTTTTTTACAGAATCATATATTTGTAAGATGAATCATTTATTTTTTTTACAGAATCATTTATGTGTAACATAAATCATTTATCTTCTAAATTAATGTTGTAGGTACAAAATGCCATTTGCTCCATTTGTAGGCTGCAATCATCATGGGTCTAATATACATTTTGCAGCTGCCTTAATCAGTCATGAGGATTCCGAGTTGTTCGAATGGGTATTTAGACACTTTGTTGAATTTATGGGCCAACCCCCTAAAGGAATATTGACTGACCAGTGTAAGGCTATAGGGAAGGCAGTGGAAACTGTGTTTCAAGATGTGCCGCATAGGCTGTGTTTATTTCACATTAAACAAAACGCTGCAAGGAACTTGGGTAAGTTACCGAGATGGAAGGAGATAGAGGCAGATTTGGATCACGTTGTTCACGATAATTTTAGCATTGAAGGGTTTGAGGATGCATGGAAGGCAATGGTTATAAAGTACAAGTTACAAAAGAACACTTAGTTAGGTGACGCATATGCTAATAGGCATCGGTGGGCGCCTGACTATTGGTGTGGGCTCTTTTAGGCTGGCATGTCATCAACGCAACGTAGTGAAAGCACGAACCGTGGTGTAAAAGTGTACGTTAATTTGAATACTGGGTTGATGCAATTCATGAATCAATTTAATGCGTATTGTGGTGGATTAGTGGAAACGGAAAAGGACCTAAATTACCAAACAAAGCGTAATCCATTTTTCTATGACAACACTGTAGTAGCCGAGGTGGTGTTTAGCAAGGCTTACACTAATGAGAAGTTTTTGGAGGTGAGGGACGATGTGATAGGGCTAAAGCACACCAATATAGTTAAAACAGGTAACATAGGGTCAATGAATTTGTATGATGCAGACGAGAAGATCCCCAAACTAGTATGGAAAGCAACGAGGTGGACGTTTAAGGTTTCCGTTGATAAGGAAAAAGGCGAATTTAGTTGCAGTTGCAAGCTGTTTGAGTTTAGGGGTATCTTGTGCCGGCACATTATCAAGGTGATTCATACTGAAGATATCGAGTGCATCCCAGAGAAGTACAATTTGAATCGATGGAGGAAGGATCTCGTTAGGGATTACGAGGGCATAAAGGTGTCTTATTACGACCCTAAGGATTAAGCTAACGTAGCTCGGAAAGATGAAATTCAAAGGAGGCACAAATACCTTTCAACGTTAGCAATGCACAATGATGAGACACTCTCAATGTATTATGAAGCAACTAACAAAGTTCGTACTGCTCTTGAAGATGTTATTGGTATTCGTAGTACTGATGAAGTGGATGGTTTTGATTGGAGTCACCCATCCATGAATAGAGTTTTTGGCCGGCGTAGGATAAGGCCTAAGGAGAATAATCAAAGGCGTCTTGAAAGCCTGTGGGTGAAGGTCAAATTAAGAATCTGGTTGACAAACAAGGCACTGGAAGGGCTCCTACGAAGAGAAATAAACATCCAGCCGAAAAACGGAGTCGTAAAAAGAAGAAGAAAAGCGTAAGTCTCATGTTGTGTTAATTTTTTTTTTTAATACAAAAAAAAATAACTATTATTTCTAGTGTCTATGTTGTAACAATATTTTTGAGTAATTTGCTTTAACCCAACTTTTTAAAATTGTGTATTGTTATAGGTTTATGATGACGATGAAGAAATTGGATCAGAAGAGCTTGATGGTGGCAATATCAATGGGAATGGAAATTATGTGGATACATCAGTGTATTACAGTTTTCAACCACAATTTTACAATGGGAACTATTTCCCTAATTTTGGTCCCGGTGCTAGTGGTGCATTTCAACCTAGTGGATATACATCAAGTCAGACTAGACCCGTTAATTATGGTCAAGTGGGTGCATCCATGAACGGGAAAGGTAGTGCAAGGGGTGAGGCAAGTTCAGATTTCAACACCATGCACCACCAATCACAGCCGAGTAGCTCAAACCGTACTAATAGTAATCTTGGATTCAATCCTTTGTTTTATAGATGAATATATTAAGTATTGTTATCAATTCGAAAGGATCAAGTGGATGTATCGTACATTGTTGTCTATTTATCAACTAACTTGTGTTTTTGTTTATTTGAATATGTTCACATAAAAAATTATCTGATGACAAGAAACATCCTAATTCCTAATCGAAGATGTTAGCCAGTGGTACGTTTGGATTGTTACTTATGCCAGTCTATATTAGTTTGGTGTATATCCAATGCAAAAATATGTTATTATTTTTTGTTTCAATAATTCAAGGTTGTTGTATTTAATTTTTTTTTTTTTTAAAAAAAAAAACTAAAGCGAAACTGGTTATAGAGGAATCGAAACCAGGACCAAGAAGTACAAGTTTCTCAATCACCACTTACTTGCCAACTGGGACATGGGTATCAGCACGCCTTAACATTTGCACTAAATATAATTATTCTAATATATGGAACCAGTTGTAGTATTAAAATATATGGGCCTACATGATAGAGCGAATACGCTGTTGCCTATTATGAGCCAATTAAAATTATCCAATATAAAGGTTTGGGCTTTATGAAGTATGTTAGAGTTAAGGGATTTTTTTTTGTTTTTTTAAATCAATAGATTTTTCTCAATTATAAATCTTTGTCAATATTTTATTTTTATGAACAAAGAAGTTTGTTAATTTGAAATTGTTGTAGTCTTTTTAAATTTTTAAAGTAGAGTACGTGTACTTGTGCAATGCACCTGATATGTGTTTTACGTATTGATATTCCAAAAAATTTATTACCAAAAAAGGAAAAGATATTTGCGAGAGTAGACATAAAAATTAACATTTAATGCTCCAACTTACGATTAATTCCCAACTATATTAATACTCGTACTAAAAAGGAAGTATATTAGTATTACTGTAAAAAAATGTTGTTTCATATATAGGAAGTTAAATTATTTATGGTAAGTAACTCTTATATGTGTTTGGTGACACCGTGTGGCTAGATATTATCGAATTTAATTTATCAGTTTTATAGGGGTTATCCATTCAGTGTTATATAGTTAACCCCGTTAGTATTATATGTGTTAGTCATTATTTAGAAAAATCAGTCAATGAGCTTAGTTAATGCACGGATTATATTATACGCGATAGAAAACAACACAAAGTGAAATGCTAGTCTGGTTATTGTATAAAATAAAATGAAATTATTGGGTAGGGTACAAAACATGATGCGTTTAAAATATTTCACCAAATTCCATATTTGGCGTGCCACACTGTGTCGCTGAGTTATTTGTTTAGTGGTTGCTTATTGTGTCAAGGGTTACTTGGTTAAATAAAGGGTTACTTGGTTTTAAAAAATAATACAAAAAGGAATAAAAGGAAAAAAAAAAAAAAAGAGATCGAAAATGAGAGTGTATGAGAATTGAGGATTGTGGTTTTGGAGAAACCTCAAATTTTGTAAATAACTTTAGAAAGTAACAATGTGTACAACTAATAAATCATGTTGGATTAATTGTAGTGTTTTTTTTTTTTTTTTTTTTTTTTTTTTTTTTTTTTTCCCGGTGTGGGAATCATATTTTGTCCTATACGTTCCACTAGGGATTGTTTCTTAATTAATAATATATTTAACCTTTCAACAACCTTACCCTCCAATGTGAAGTGTGAAGGGGCTTCCATCGGATTTCACCGGTTTTAAGCCTCAATCTTTAATTTTTTTTCAATTTTTGATTTTATGTCTTAGGTTATAGTAAAGTCACTCTCGAAAGAAAGGGTTTATCTCCTTCGAAGGATAAGTTTTCTTCGATCTCCAACGAAATGCGATTTTTTTCGGACTCCTTCGAAAGGGAAAGTTTTATTTTGCTTAAATTTGGTCTGTGGTTGTGTGGGGCTACTACTAATCATGGCTCGGATTCGGGTTATGGAAGTAACACAAGTTTTTTTTTTGGTAAAAAAAATGCGAAGTAGCGACGGATCCATTGAAAAAGTTGTATGAGACAATGAACCAAGAAAGTACCGAGTTGTTATATTTATGTACTTGATTTCTTAGCCATTCACCGATTAATTATTGTTCTATTTTTTTAAAATCGTCTTCATCGGTAATTATCTTGTTTCAAACAAAATGAAATAATATAAATTAAAAAAAAAATTCTATTATTTTCCCAATTATTATTTTAAAAAGGGTGGTTCTTTGGTTTTCACTATTCCCTACAAAACTAGGGTAGATGACTACAATAGAACCTAATAGTCTATTTAAAGAACCCAAATTATTCAACTAATTGTTCAACCATTAACCTCCAATTCTCCATACACCCCTTCGCCTTCTATTTCCTTTTCAAAACACTAACCTACCTCATCACCGAAAATGAATAACAAAGATGGAGCTTCATCATCAAAATCTCCTTATGAGTTGCAGTTGCTCGGTTTGCAACACTATCTGTCATATCTTCAAGGGCGTTATGTTGAGGCTTGCCATCAAAGGAAAGAGGTAGAAAAAAGGCAAGTTGAATTGCAAATCCTAATAGAACAATTAAAAATCGATATTACAAGGAAAACTTCTGAAAATCAACAGGAAAACTCTGGCGCTGCAGCAACAACATCGAGGACCAAACCAAATTGAGGCTGTGGAGGATGAATACTTGATTGTGGGTGTCTAGGGTTTCATTGGATTGTGTTTATGAAGTCATGCAATCTTCTTATCGTTTTATTAAATTTGGACCTTTTATGGTTTACCAGTGTATGTGTTTTCTCCATTTTGGCCTTTTGTATCCTTTTTTTAGAAAATTGTGTTAATGATCTTGAAGATGTTATCCTTAACAATTTTATTGGTATTGTTCTATTGAATCGTCTTCTATTAGTTCTATTTGAAGTAAATTTATTTATTCTGTTTTGCTATTTTAAATGATATTTTGATACTGTAAAATAAATTATGAGCGGGATGCGTTTTATTTACCCAGACATTGCAGGGTGAAATTGTTACATATCAATTATAATTCGGTAAATTGAATATTTAAATATGTTAAATGTATTTGTTTAAGCAATGGTTATAACAACAATCATACTGAACTAAAATCATGTAAATTACTATGTTATTATATTTCAAAACGTTACAAGGACTCTAAACAACTACAATTAAAAGAACTAAAATCATGTAAATTACTACAAATGGATGCCAAACCAATATCCAAGCCCTGCGCCTATGCCTCCATGAGTTTGTCTTAAATAGCGTTTCCCACGTTCATAGCAGCGTCTTCTCCAACTGACTTGATGTTGACATGTTACACACCCGCTCTTTCCTCAAATGTGTTGTGTTGACATGAGTCTTTTGTAACTGGCTTACAACAATATTTTTCAAACTGGCTCTAGTTGATGTTTTTGTTCTCGTTGATCCGTTTTCCAGTAGTTTCTTTCCATTCTTTGTTTAACGACTAAAATTTCAAGAGATATTCAATCTCGTTGATTTTCGGATATATATGCCCCCTAAAAATCACCTCCCATTGACCGAAATGGTCGTGGTTTGGATAATATTCTCCCATGGATTGTAGGTTATAAGTAATTGTAAAAGCTACGTGAATAATAGGAATTGGGATATCTTATTCCAGTTTATAGTCTTTATTTTTTGTACATATCGAGGTAAATGGTTCCCCAATGGTTTTTTTTCCCTTGTTAAGTACTTTTGGAGGGAAAAAACAGTAAGAGCTTTCACATTTCCCTCCTAATTTTTCCTCTACATATATTCCTATGATACCTAATATGACTACAACATTTTAAGTACAACCAACTAAGTTCAAACTATTTCAATGGAGCATTCACATAAAAGGGTTTTAGCTCCACAAGTAGAGTTATATGACTTTGGCAAATGGGACGAAATATTTGAGGATCACATCTTGCCAAAGATACTAGAAATTGGATACCTTTTAAAATTCCAGTCTGTAAACAAGAGGATGTTACGTGTTATAGGGCTAAGGATTAACAAGAAAGAAGATATTGATTGGAGTCAGCTTGAGACGGTCATCAGTAGGCCTCATCTCGGGTGTATGGTTAAGCATAAGAATTTTTTGGAATTCGAGAGTTGTCGCCATTGTTCGTGGAGAACTGAATGTCGCAAGTGCACTTTCCGAAATGCCCTTAAGTTTTTAAGGGACACTCACGGTGGTCACATTCGAGAAAACGATGAGTCTTGGGAGTG